GACTTTACGAACGTACCCATTATTAAAGACTTCGATACAAAAATGAAAATTTGTGAATTGGCAAAGAAGTTTGATCTACCGGAATTGTCGGTCAGAACAATTATAAAAGGCAAAGAAAAAATTCTCGAAGCTGTGAAAAATGCTCAATCTTTAAATTCAAGCGTCATTCGTAATCTTCACGGTATTATCGCTGAGATGGAAACAATGTTAAAATTATGGCGTAATAATCAAGTGAATGTGAAAAAAATTGTAAAATAATATAGGCCTAATTTGTTATACATATGTATTATTTAAGATTTTATTAAACATATTTTTTTCTAAATTATTGTTTTCTTTAGTCTCCGGCCCCAATTAAAAATTATTTGTACGTATTTATATGCGAAATTATACCCCGACTTACGCGAATTCGACTTACGCGGTTACCGCTCGGTCCCACCTATCGCGTAAGTTCGGGGTATTACTGTACACATAATAATTGAAAAAGTATAAAAATATGTATATTTATCATTATTATTATATTTTTAAAATATACCACTGGAATTAAGTATTTTTCTTATCTCGACTGTGTTCTAATAACTTCACATCCTAGAACTGTCTAATTTTTATAACTCATTATATAAATTATTTCTAATTCGAATAAGCTCATAAATCCTATGGTGAATTTTCATTTAATTTATTTTAGACTCTTTCCACCCCGAGAGCACTAAGAGAGCCTTTTTTGTCATTTTTATTGCGAATGAGGCCAAATTCACGATGAGGAAGAGCGGTCAAGTGGGGTAGGGCACGACATATTCGAAACTTACTGCTCTCCCAGATCGATGACGAGTCTCCCTTAGCGGTGAGTTGATTCATAAACTAACCTGGCCACGTGGCCGTCTCATCTGCTAAATTAATAAAAAGTAAAATTATGTCTTATGTAGCGTTTAACTGAAATATGGTTTATTTACGGGATAAAAATATATTTCATTTATATTTGATATGAAGATAAAAGTATTTACTTTATTAAGAAGAAATTAAGGATTTAATTTAAGAATTGCATTTATCTAAATAGAAGTGAAGTGCAAATTTAAAAGACTGTTACGGGATGTGACACCCAAACTGCATTTTTTGTAGCTGTTATCAATAATTGCTAAATTCATTGAGATTCAATTTTAAAATGTTGCAGACTTACAAATTTTCACTGTCGTCCGTCTGTCCGCCCGCCTGTCTTTCCTTAATCACCAGAAAGAAGTTAGAAGATGAAATACGAGATCAGATATCAAAACTTTCGAAACAGGCCACCTCGATTAACTGTACAAGAACTTCCAATGAGAACTGAAATTACGTTATTGCAATTCCAAGTTACCCCTGAGAGTAATTAACCATTTTTTTAAATAGAAAAACACTNTCTTGTTCGATATATAGTTGATACATACCATTGCAAGTGCTCCAAAATAAATTACAGTAAACTCTCGATTTAACGAACTACCGGGAGATAGTTGGTGTCCGCTATTATCGAAGGTTGATTAAATCGAATGTGTTTAAAAACATATTAATAACGAACTTAAAATTTATAAGATGTTTTAAAATATTGTTATGGTCTATAAGTATGAAGAAAATAATATAATAATATGCATTGAGTAATTTATATTCATTGACTAATTGTTCTATTTGCGAATAAAAAATATTTTAACGTTTCCTATAGGACAGAAATTTTTGTTCGTTAAAACGAAAGTCCGTTATATCGAGGGCTTATTGTGTATTTATTTTATTGTTGATTTCTTAATCATTCGCAAAGTATATGTTTTCGTTTTATTCATAAGACAGAAACGGACATTTATAAATAGATATAAAATAAGTCCAATTAATAGAGAACGGATACAACAACTTTGAAATATTCTGTTCCCTTTATGGATATTTCGAAAAACGTCCAGAAGAGTAAAGATACAGTATAAGTCAAAATCAATGACGTAAATAGAAAAAAATATTTTTTACTTTAAGTTTCTTGTAAGTGGATCATTTTCAGGTATTTTTTTAATGCTATTTGGAACATCAGATTTCTTTTAAGCAATTCAATGCTGTCATATACTAACAGTGTTTATCTGTTTGTAAAGAATAAAGTTATAAATTAATATTTTAACTCGTAAAGTAATTTATCATGAAACTCAATACGCAAATTTACTTTTTTCTATAAAGATGGTAAATATTTTTTATATTTTAATTGTGACTTTCCTCGTATCTTCGCGAATTATTGTACTGTACTTCCAACATCATTAAGAAATACATATCTTAATTTATAATCTAATGGTATCTTCTGGTTTCATCATTCAATCAATATTCCATTTACTCTAATATTATAAAATATATTTTATGCAAAGAACGGTTTGTCAAAGATATCATTTCTTTAAAGTTTTCTATAAAGTATTATAGTTTTCGAGTTTATCTGACGAATTTTAAAACCAACAATTATACGCTACAAATTGTTAGTTTTAAAACAAACTTATACTAAAGACAGTATTAATTAAGCAATTAAAAATCAATGTAGGGAAATAAAACTGCACGTTCAGCAAATGAAATCAGTAATGGAATTCGAAAGTTTAAAAAAATCTTTTAATTTATCAAAGACAACAAATAAGAATTTTAACAACCATGGAGAAAGTAGTGGTTACAAATATCATTGACATTAAAAAGTATTAAATAAACTCGGTTTTATTCATATGTATATTTGTATTTAAAATTGCATTTATTTTAAAATATTAATAACTTTTGAACAATGTGAATATTTGTATTAATGATTAATAAAGATGAAAAAGATACGAATGGGCTAAATAAGATTGAGAAAAAGATTAAAGAAAAGAAATTTCTCTTGAGGCTGTTGTAACTTATTTGGTTATGCGTGTGATCTCAGCAGATGGCGTTAAAAATTTAATGTTTTGTTTTTCTTTAGAAAATCCTTTTATGAAAATTCTCGAAAACGAAAGCAAATAGAATCAAACATTGAAATCCTATTTAATTCTCTGCTATTAACGTACGGTACAGAATTTTAATATTCGAATTCGTTAATTTCTAATAAGTATCCACGATTTAAAAATCATAGAAAATTAATGAATTTACTTTTTAAAGTTCTGAACCGTTCCTGAATAGAAAAATTAAATAGTTTTCTTACGAAGAAAGTCTGTGGTTCTATCTGCTTCCGTTTTTGAGAATTTTTGAAAAATATATTTTCCATAGAAAAAGCATTACATTTTTAACGCCATCTACTGGAAATCGCAAGCCTAACTAGAGATTAATATCGGCCTTAAAGGTTTTGAATTATAATAAAACTAGCAGACCCTGCCATGCGTTGTTGTGGCTCAAAATGTATCTATTATAAATTTATAACACTTCCCCCGTGGTGGGGGGAAATTTTTCGAAAAATTTCTTCTTAGTGTACATTCTCTTCACGTACCCTATTAAAACGCGATCAAAAACGCAAAAACCCGCATCTAAAATAGTATAAATAGAAGCAGAGTTCTTTACCGTAAGCCTTAATCCTAACCATCTCCCTTCAGTGGGGTTGAATTTCGACATGTATATTATATAAAAATACGCGCGTATTCGAATGCAGCGTTGTGTCAAAATTTCGAAGGAATCGGTAAGAACAAACGAACATTACATTTGTATTTATATAAATAGATAGATGATCTGCTTTAGTTCATCCTCACAGAAAAGCATAATGCCTCACAGAAAAGCAAACGTAGAGCGTCGTACTCGTAGCGCCATCTGTTGGACATAAAAGCCTTAACCTAGATTATATCTTTTAATTTATATGAATGTTTAACGGAATAATATACAGCCTATGTCCACCCTAAAGTTCCATTCTAAATATTGGTGAAAGAATTTTTGAAATCGGATGAGTAGTTTCGGAGATTACCTGCTGCATACAAACTTACATACATACAAACATTACCTCTTTATAATATTAAGTATAGACGAAAATAAATGAGATTAAAAAATTGTTAAATATTTATATTTAATATACGTAATTAGTTTTGGAACTGTCTCATTCGGATCTAAAATCTATCATTATATTAATCTAATAATATGACTCACTTGTCAATGAATATTAATATTTTCAATTGGAATACTTTCATTTAAACCTATTTCCGAAATTTGATAGGTTAGACAAAATTGATAAAAAAATTTTTATAAAAAATTATCAGAATTTTATATATAATTTTCTTCCTTTTTAAGAAAAATATCAACATTTTATGACTCAAACTATGCTATAACAATCTTTTATTATCGACAGTTTTTTTTTTGATAATTTTGCACAAGAATTTGAGATCGCAAGCTCTATAATCTTCTATAGTCCCAGATCAATGCTACCAGTTCCTTGTGTTTTTTTTTTTTTTTTATAATATCAGAAACTGTTAATTTTTCAATTTTAGCTTTGTTATTTGATGCTTGAATTTTCCCTCTTCATGAAAGTTTACAATTATTTCTGTAATATCGCAGCTTACTGCGTTTCCAGATATATGTTTTACTGATTTACACTAATTGAATATTGCAATTTGTGTGTAACATGCAAATTATAAGTAGAATATATCAATAATACTTAAATAAATAGAAATGTTTCATTTTTAGTAGTATTCGAGGTATTTTCTGTTAATGCTAAAAGGTGACCGAAGTTTTTCGTCACCTACCCGTATTATTTCTTTAGTAATATATGCAAACATTTACATTTTTATTGAGTTAGCTATATTTATTGATGTTATAGTATAACAGAATAATTTTTGTAATTTTTTTTGTACTTTGCTATCTTTAAAATAAAATTCTGCTAATTATTCTGAGAGATGTCCTTGGAGGTATTTTTGTTTTACTTATATTATTTATTATAGTTTATTCTTATATAAATACAAAGTGTTTTAACGCAATATATAACCTTACAACGTTTTTAACCCTTGGTAATGAACTCATTACATCAACCAAGATTAGTTTCCAGTACAAACATTACCTCTTTATAATATTACCTCTTACAAACATTACCTCTTTATAATATTACCTCTTACAAACATTACCTCTTTATAATATTACCTCTTACAAACATTACCTCTTTATAATATAAGCTTCTCAGTTGACACTGATAAAAACAGTGATTAAAATTTTCATTAAATCTAACAAATTAAGATTTTATTAGGTGGATTTAAAAAAAACTTTTAATTAATATTTTTATCAGTGTCAGTTGAGGAGGAATTACGCTCAAAACGTGTCTTGGCCGATGTAATGAGTTTGTTACCAAGGCATAAAACTGTTATAAAGTAAGACTTTTTTCTGTACTACATTGTGTATATGTAAGAATTAATTATGTAGAAAGCACAGTTACGAAAGCGAAATTATTGTTGTATTTTATTAATAATAGTATACTGAATATATATATATATATATATTATATACAGTAATACCCCGACTTACGCTACCCCGACTTACGCGAACCCGGAGTTACGCGATTTTCAAATCTCGTCGATTCGTCTTTTGTTTGAGTGCCACGCAACCCTTGATTACTCACACCCCCAACACTATTGTTCAGCTTACATGTTCGGATGTGTCGCGCGGAATCCACACATAGCTACAATTTATTTTGTGTTATTTATTTCTGTGTTTGTTATATCTACGGAGACTCGAGAGACTTTATGTGGTGATTTCTTGTAACTGTGAACGAATCAAAAGACAATATAAGATTAACGAGAACATTTATTAGCTTACATACATCCGACTTGGATTTTACACAAATTG